TCCCCAACTCCGGGGACTTCCGGCCGGGGACTTTGGGTGGCAGTATACGCCGTGAAGTTGTTTGCGGCCTGCCAGTAAACCCAAAGCAGAAGAAGAAGAAGAAGTGACGTCGGCGGCTTCATTTGTCTAATCCTTCCCCAGGGACTTATTCCGGTGTGAACGCGATCTGTACTTAGTTCATGAGAACTAAAGAGTAACAGACAGAGAATCAGCACTTTTGAAACAGGGCTGAAACAGAGGGGATTATGGGATGCTGCAATGATCTGTTTGGTGTTTCAGCCAATCAGAGTCATGTTCTGATATCTGAGACCTATAATATATTATAGGTCTATTATATATATATATTCTATATTATACTGTTTTTCATCTATATATATATAGATGAAAAACAGTATAATAGGGGACCTTTAATATTAAAATAACAGTTTTTTTGTTGCATAGTAGCACCTACTGTACGTGAAGGGTTAGAAACATCCCATAGAGGTGACTTTAGAGTTACACACACAGAGAACAGGGGTCGTTTTGCATCAGTTCAGCGGGTTTTTTTTATCTTCTGTGTTCGTTTTGCAAGAATTTATGTTGCCGTTTTCATTTTTTTCCGATTTGTGTCTTTACCTCATTTTCTCTTTGTAGTTGTTTTGCATGTGTTGGTTTCTCTACAGTCTGTGGTTTCTATTTTTACATTCCAGTGCTGAACTAAACATTCATAAATACTTGTGTTAGTTTAGTTAGGTGAAAGAAAAAAAAGCCTTCAAATTTTAAAATAGGCACATTACAGTCCAATATATTCTGATGTGGACTTCAAACCTACAGAGTCCAGAGTGAGCAAATTAAATAATCATACATTTTTCCAGGCTATAATTATAATTTAATTCCGATGTAACATAAATAAAAACAAGACAAAATTATAAAAAGACACTTTTTTTTAAATCGCTAAATATATTTTAAATTATGCATTTTATTTTTTTGTATCACTTAAGTTAATAATTAAATGTGTGATTCATTCATTTGGTGCTTTTGAAAAGTACCAATGAGGTGAAATCAAGCGGCAAACTCTGGGGCAGAGCCGGGAAGCCCATAAGGAAGTGCCACAAACTGCAGTTCATCTAGTGGCCGATAGGGGATGGATGCAGAAAGGAGCAATGTCCATAGACCCCCATGTTAAAATGCCCAACTTTACAGTAGAAATAAACATGTTTCTACCCCTGGATGCAATAAAAAATATTCTGGATATAGTTAGATTCCACCTTCATGACAATGGATTGGGGAGTGAATTTATTAATAACGCACCCCTTTGAGTTACATTAGGTCTTAAATGTTTTGCATAAATGAGGGCGTGGTCACGTTGATGGACAGGTCTCTGCGGTGACTGCTGCTTCTAGCTTTCTGTTTCTCTGCTAGCTCCGTTAGCTCTGTTAGCTCCAGGATGCTACAGGGGCTCGGCTGCGAGGCTGATCCAGGGAACTTGAACCCGGACGTGTTTGTTGTGTTGGTGCCTGGTGGAGTATTCTTCATTTAAATATCGGACTTATCATATGCCGCATCGGCTCCGCCTCTTTGCCCTTATTTGGAACAAGCTGGAGTAGGTGGGAGTTCGACTCTGACTTCACTGTCGAGACGTTAGTGACCAACTCCGCCTACTGAGGGCTTCTCTGCAACTCTGCAGAAACCTATGGGTGACGTCACGGACACTACGTCCATTTACAGTCTATGGGTGAAATCAGGGGCACTCCTTGCGAACAGGCAAGGCAGGCAACTGCTTGGGGCCCCAGACCAGAAGGGGGCCCCCAAATAAGGTAGATTAAGAAGGTCGACAGCAACGACAACATGAAACACCCTTTAATTTACTGCAACGACATGTCGGGAAACCCCCTCAAGGCGGCCCCATGCATAGCGCGCCGTAAAATGCTGCTTCTCATCTTAAGCTCCGCTCCAGATAAAAGGTAAATGAATTTGAATCCTTATAATTATCAAAATTATAATGATTATTCTTTTCAGTTTTAAATGTAATATCGTATAATTGTTTAAGTAACGATGCTTGTATCAGCTTAGTTACCTGTATATATTTTACATTCATCAATTAATTAACTAATACAAATATATATCATAATTTTTTTTGGCACACACCAGACTCCGTATAAGAACTTCCTCACATTGAACACACAAGTAGTTTCTGGTAGAAAACAGTAAATAAATCACTACAGTACATAATAACGTGGGCTGGACATCATGACCTGTTTTTTGTTTCTGTTTTGAATCCTCAGGCAGCGTAGTTTTAAAATAAATGCACAAAAACGAAGTGTATCTTGCATGAAGAGCGTTTACACACACATTAGTAAAGTCGTCAGCGAGCGGCCGGTCGCTTCCGGCCGGTCGTCTACACGTTGATGGCGTGAGCGTGCTTCTTGCACAGAGGTTTGTCTTTCTTTGAGTAGAAAGGCTGGCCCTCCAGGTTCACGTTGCAAACCTGCAGGAAACACAAAAAGATATATAAAATATATAAAAGAAACATAGCTTGAGTGACTGCAGAATAACTCAACATTCAACAGTTAGAATTACAGCAATGTTGTGTAAATTAAATAGTTGTATTTACATAAAACCTGATTTGTTTTTGCTGCTTTTGTGAAGCACTTTGAATAGCCTTGTTGTTGCTGAAATGTTCTTTATAAATACACTTGCTTTACCTTTGCTAAAAATATGTGTATTCACGTGATTATTTTATATATTAAAAGGTAGGGTAGGTAAGAATGGAGAAACCAACTCGAGTGCGCTAGAATTAGAAAATACGCAGCCGAAAAAAATCTGCCCCTTCCTTCAGACTTCCTTACAGAGCCCCTCCTCCAACACACACGAACGCGCACATGACCAATGAGGGCACGAGATAAGTTTGTGCACAGATGGAAGGCTGACAGGCAGGTAGGCCATCCAGTTATTTTAGCCGGGCCGGCTCAGATGATTGGTCGTGCTTTTTACAGCANNNNGACAAATTGGAGGTCCCCATGAGGGGAATCATTAATTTTAGGGTGAAGACTTTGTTAGGGTTAGTGTTAGGGTTAGGCATGTGTTGGTTATGGTTAAGGTTAGGATAAGTCTCCAGGAAATGCATGTAAGTCAGTGTAATGTCCCCCGAAGTGATGTATACATGGTATGTGTGCGTGTGCGTGTGTGTGTGTGTGTGNGGGATAAGGTGAGAAGTTCGGTCATCAGGGAGGGACTCGGAGTTGAGCCGCTCCTCCTTCGCGTCGAAAGGAGCCAGTTGAGGTGGTTCGGGCACCTAGTTAGGATGCCACCTGGGCGCCTCCCTAGGGAGGTGTTCCAGGCACGTCCAGCTGGGAAGAGACCAAGGGGTAGACCTAGAACCAGATGGAGGGATTATATCTCTTCGCTGGCCTGGGAGCGCCTTGGGATCCCCCAGTCAGAGCTGGTTGATGTGGCCAGGGAAAAGAAAGTTTGGGGCTCTCTGCTGGAACTGCTACCTCCGCGACCCGACCACGGATAAGCGGGAGAAGATGGATGGATGGATGGATGATTTGGATGAATGAATATATCCATATAGAATCAGAACAGCTGAAAATTATGTATGCCAAGGATGCATAAAAAGAATGATTGAGCTAAAGTAATGGATGAACAGTTGAAATAGATTAATTAAAGTAATAGATAATCTGTTAAAATAGTTAGCTAAATTGTGACCTAAAAGTAATGGATACATTGTTGAAATAGTAAGCTTAACGTAATGGGTACATGGTTGAAATAGATAGCTACATTGTTAGTTAAAAGTACAGATAACCCGTTTAAATATTAATCTAAATCTTTAGCTAAAATAAATGGATACATTGTTGAAATAGTTAGCTTAATTGTTAGCTGAAACAAATGGATCTTCTTTTAAAATCTTTAGATAAATCTTTAGTGAAAAGTACGCCTAATGGAAAAAAGTTTGATAGTTTAAATAGTCAACTAAATAATTAGCTAAACATTAAGGATAAGTGGAACAAATAGGTGTCTAATTAGTTAGCTATAGGTTAAAGAACAATTGTTGTATTAGCCAATATTAATAAAAAAAAATGAAATAGATAGATAGACAGTATAGAATAAACAGATGAAATAGATTTATATTTTGTTTTTAAATGTTATTTGATAACTCGTTGAAACATCCAGCTTCAGAGGAGAAGTTGCAAAATCAATATATGAAATGCGTCAGTAATGTGAAATATCAAAATGTCAATGTTTGCTTGTACTCAGATTCTAGTGCTTATCACTCATAAACAAGTTCAGCAAAAATGTGTCTTTCCGTATTCCACTTCCTCATCTGAAACCCTGTCTTGCTATGTGGTGCAGTCTATCTTTGTGTTCACAACGCACCTGTATCCTCTCCCATTTCACTATACTGTATGTCAATATCAAACTTTCTACTCAACGGAAGTAAAAGGGCAGAGGCCCGTCACTGTTTCCGTTTCACCTTTTCATTTGACTAGACTAGAGGCATACTTGAAGCGTACAAATCTTGAAATGCCAAGACCTGGAAATCTCATTGATTATAGAGAGGTGTAGAATGTTATTGCACTGAAGGACATTTGACAAACACAAAAGGAGCTTTCCTGTGAAGATTATTATGTAGTTTTCATATATTATTTAGAAGAGCTTGTATTTTCAAATTGTATTAACTAAAATGAATGTGGGGGAATATATATGGAAACAGAAAGTACGTGCATACAATACATGTGGCTTGAAATGTAACAGCTACCATAATGATTGTTATCCATCTGATCCATCATTAAAACATTACAGTCGTAGTAGTGCCCTCTTCTTCCTTACAAATCACCAACCCAGCCAAAGCAGTGTGTAAAATCAGTGTGTGTGCGCCCTCCGTTATATCATGTGCCTCTCAGAAGTGTGTGTTTTACGTCTGACCTGGCAGACAAGGCTGACAGGGCCGATAATCAGCTTAATATTCACAGCCAGAGAGAGCACAGCTAGAGCTGAGAGGGCCAAACAGCACAGAGAAAAGAGGCAGATAAAACTAAACGTCACTGTCTCCTTCTCCGTGCCATAGGTAGGCAAAGTGCAGCATTAAGATATAAAATTGCTAATGTAGACAGTCATTTCATATTCAATACGGATAAAGTTTGGGCATCTTGTACATAGTCAAACTGCTTTTTTTTGTCCTGGATTTGGAACAGACAGAGGAAAAAGTAACCAATTTATATCTTACACATACTGACCACGGGACAATGAAGTCTTCTTGTAGCTATCATGGATGTTTGTTACTTACAAAACATGTAGACAAAGGACAAAGACAGGAGACACATTGTTCTCGATTTTGTCCAACATGTATCTGCACACTAACACTGTATGATGACAAAAAGCATATAGAGGAGTTGGGTGGAGTTTCCTGTGCAATGACTCAACTATCGCATACATTTATACAAACATACAAGGTGATATTTACATGAAGTAAACCACCACAATTCAGAGAGATGGCTGAGTCATCAATAACTCAGTGAGAAACACTTCACTGTTTTGGCAAACAATAAGCCAGTCACATAGGGATGGTAATCCAGAGTAAGTATCTCTGAGTATCAATGTTATTGTATAGTTATATTGTCAAATTCTATAATTTATTTGAATACATATATAAATACTGCATTTTCATCCGAAGATACTGACATGTTGGGAGTTATAGACATTGGCAGAAACATTTTATTTCTGCTAAGTATAAAAATGTTCAACAAGTATGACAAATAAATAAGACTACATGCAGATTTAGATTGCAGATTTCTGGTATGCTTGTTACTGATGTGTCTTCACAACCTGTTCTCACACAGGTTTTTTTTTCTTTTTATTCTATGAATACTCAGTTATTTTTAACTGCTCAGCTTATAGAAAACGAAACATGCAGCTTGCTACAAGGGGTTCTGTCAGGCAGACAAACATGCTCAGTGCTACTAAACTCCCATCTGTGCCTGGGAATACAGACGGGGACTGAAGCCCGTTGGCTGAGTAAACTTTCCCACCCTGTACCCTACTCTGTTCAACAGTTGGTGTGTCTGTCAGTGTGTGTGTGTGTGTGTGCATCTTTACAAAAGCAAAGGAAGGGCCCCCTCATTCCCTTCTGGACACTTATGGCGCATTTCCACTGCAGGGCCTCGCACGGCTTAATACGGTATAGTTAGGCCTTGGTAGACCAGGCTCACTTTATGCTGCGGCAGCATAAAGTGAGCCTGGTCTACCAAGGCCTAACTATACCGTATTAAGCCGTGCGAGGCCCTGCAGTGGAAATGCGCCATAAGTGTCCAGAAGGGAANGTCTTTGTGACCATCCTCGGGTTTCCTGTCAAGCTTGGTCATGTGTGCCACGACCTATATATCCCCCCCCCCCCCACACACACACACACACACACGCATTGTATACTCATGTGATGGTTATTATTGTTGGTCTAAAAGGAGAGTGTGACATCGTGGGGATCATGAGTCAACAGCAGTTTTGCCGTCGCTGAAATGACAATCCGCCTGTTAAAT